TTCAACGTGGTCCGAGAGCACGTGCCGTTCCTCGTGACGCTCTTCCTGCTCATGATCCCGGCCGAAATGCCCGAATTGCGGAGCCGCGACGACATCAACTACCTCGTCGAAGTGTGTGTGCCCACGCTCTCGACAACGGACGCGGCCAAGAGCTTTGAAGTCGCGATCGAGTACTGCCTCGGGTCGCGCTTCAAGCGCTGGGACAACACCCTCCACATTGTCGCGCACAAGTACTTGTAATTGATACATTTTTGATTTCTCTCGGATCATTCTGCACGCAGCCACCAAAGAGAAACCAAGTCAGCGCGTCATGAGCTCTGACAACACCGTGAACGCTCTGGGTTGCCCGAGACTGTATGGCTCACGTCCGGCGCCACCTGGACAAGACACGTCGATGCGTCGTGGCAGTGTCGCTGCTACTTGCCCATGATATGCACGAGCGGCAGCAATGAACAGAGGTAGAGTTATAAACCATCTGATTTTTCTATCATACACGACTGACTCTAGACTTACAGGTACTTGTGGGCGATGATGTGGATGGTGTTGTCGACGCGCTTGAACGTGCTGCCCATGCAAAAGTGCACCGCGGTCTCAAAGTTGGCGGCGGCCGTCGCATCGTCGACGCCCAGCAAGGCAATTTCAACCAGGTGATCCAAATCGCTCACGTCCCGAAGCTCGGGCATGCCGGCCGGAAGCATGAGCACGAGCAGCGTCGATAGCAGTGACACGTGCTCTCGGACCACGTTGAACGCGTCACCGCACGTCTGCACAAACGGCGAAAACGCATCCGACCCGACGCCGCCGAGCACGTGCCCCATCTCGGGCGTAAACACAAACGGCGTCTTCTCACGCTTGATGCCAAACTAGAACCACAATTCAGATCCGAAAAGCCGCTCGGTCGTCGCTACCTGGTACTTGAAGTGCCCGAGAAAATGACCAAAGTCAATGTGAAAGTACCGACCCGCGTGCGTGAGCTAGTAGGGTATGTCAGTCTGACAGATCCTTGGACACGAGATACCATGATGTTGTCGTTGTGCCGGTCGCCGATCCCGAGGACACACGTCGCGACGCAGTAGCCGGCGCACGACCGGCGAAAGAGGTCGACCGCCAGCGCATAGGCGTCGGGCGTCGGGTGGTGCAGGCGTAGCCACGACGAGAAGCTCGCGTTGTCGAATGCACCGAGCGTTCCGTTGCGCTGATGGATCGTCGCGGTCGTCTCGGCCTCCAAGACGACCTGCAGCATGCCGACGCGCTGGCCGGTCGCCACGCATTGGTACGGCTCCATGGCCAAATCCAAGCCGCGCTCGCGCCAGAGCTCGTCCATGACGCGGATCAGCTGCAGTGTCAAACTGTCCTGACGCACGTCGTCGCCCGACTTGAAGATGACGGTGATCGGGTCGCCGCCAACCTCGGCATTTTCAAATACAAGCCAGAGAGGGAGCTTGGCCGACGACATGACCTTGAACTTGGACACGATGAGCTTGCCAACGATCACCGAGGCATCGAGCGGCAGCGTTAACGTGCTTGATAGCGTCTCGTTGATCTCGTCGAGCATCGCTTGCATCGCTTGCTTGATGTCGACCATGGACACGCTCTTCTTCTTGAGCTTCTTGACGTACTGGCTCAGGTTGTCAAAGACGCCGTTGGTGCCAAAGAGGTGGTGCTGCATGCGGCACTTGTCGCGGATGGGTGGTGCGACGCCGGCCATGTAGGCGTTGAGGAGCGCGGTGTAGCGTTCGCGGTAGCCAGGATGCGGCGACTCGATTTCAACCTTCAAAAGCCAAAAGAGGGCGACACCGGCGTGCCCGGGGTGCGTCCACGCCTGTGACAGCACGTGCAGCGCGAGCCCGGACGCCAAGTACGGCTCGCACTTGATGGCCTGCACGAGCTGGGGGAGGAGGCGCACCCACTCTTCCGGTGGCATCAAAGTCAGCTGACTCAGCGCAAAGTCGCGGACCAGCGCCATTGGAAACGCCGGCGTTAGCAAGCAGAGCCACTGCGCTGCGTGCGCCGGCGCGGCCCAGATCTGAAGGCAAGTGGCGGCTTCGTCGACGTCGACGGGGCTTGTCCAGTCGGCGCTCCAGAGCACGTGGCGCAGCATATCGAAATGGTTCAAAAACTCATTGCGGTTCGACCACAGAAGCGCTTTCTGGCTGGACGAGAGCTTGGCGAGCGGATCGCGCGTCAGCAACGCGACGACGTCGTCGAGGACGTCACCTCCGACGCTGCTCGCATTGCTGCTGCGCGGACTCTCGGCGCCGCCCGACGGACTCGTAATGTACAAGAGCGAGGACGGCTCTGCGTCCGTGTTGGCGGCTGAAATCGCCGTCAGCCAGGCCGTGCGATCGGCTTTGGTCGGTGCCGAGAGCACCAGCGCGTGTCCTTGCGCGAGCACTTGAAAGCAAAACGTCGACTGCTCCTTGCGCGTGCCCTTGTTGACGGCAAACGTCGTGTACGACTCATTCAGCTCGTCCATGAGCGTCACTGACGCCGACGAGACGTCGATGCTGTGCGCAGGCGGGAACGCCGGGTCCTCGGCGTAGCGCAGCTGGCCGCTTTCGAGCACAAACCATCGCTCAGCCCAGATGCGCCGGCCGACGCCGCGCCCGAGCTTGCGTAGCCACCCGCAGCGCGGCTCGAGGGTTGTCGACGACGTGCGTCCGTGCTGCTGCTTGAGGAAGATCGATTTTTGCATGAGCTCAAAGTAACACCGGTGGTCCGCGACGCCAAAGCTCATCTGCCCCCGCAATTTAGCCAAGACGATTCCAGCGGAAGAGGAAGAAACGTACATGCAGCAAGGGCTGAGACGCATCCAAGCATTGCGGGGAGAGCACGTGGCTGTGGGCGACCATCGCGACGTACTGCGGTCCTTGCCGCAGCTGGCCGTGCAAGTCGAACAGCTGCATGGAAGCGGCAACAATTTGCTCGCGGTCGCTGTCGTCCCCGAGGCACGTGGCGCGTCCGTTGGCGTCCTTCTTGACACCAGAGAGCGTACAGACGAGCCTACGTGACGCGTCAGAGGGAGGTCCCTTGGTACACTATTTGTGTCGACCGCGTCTCGCGGGGGAGCTCGTTGATCTTGCGCTTCGACTTCAGCGTCTTCGCATTGGGCCAAACCGCGGTCCACGAGGCCGGACTGGCTTGCAGCTTCACGGGCGACGTTTCTTGCCACGGTTCGAGGAGCGTCTCGCCAAACCAGAGCTCGACACGCACGACCACGTGCGAATACGTCAGCGGCGCGGCCTCGAGCCCGAGGTGCGATGGCTGCTTCGCCAACGCGACCAGTGGAATGTTGAGCGCTTCGTGCACCGAGACGCGCACCGACTGGCTCACGCGCCAGCTCTCAACGAGCGACGGCATGGCCAATGGAAAAGACATGGCTGCATCGAGGCTGCGCGCGGGCCGGGCCATCGCCAGCGGACGTGGGTTTGTTCTCTGCGTCGACATTGCCTTTGGCGGCATTGGCACAAGGATGAGGTACAGGCTGCGCCGGCCCGTCGCCACGAGCGCAGCGATATGCGCAAAGTCGTGCATCTGGTGGGTCGACGTCCGAGCAAACGCGAGGTGTCCGCCAAAGCGAAGTGCAAAGTGGTGCATCACGTCATCGTCCTCGCGTGTCTCGTCATCGTTCGCTTTATTGCCGGGCACGGCCCCGAGCTTGGCCCGCGTGAGCGTCAGCACGTCGCCGACCAGCGCGTCGGACGGGAACTCGATGGTTGGCAGCGTCGCGGTCGACCGCCGGCGAAGCGTCGCGACCTCCTTCGTCTCACCACCGCGCAAGGCCGGGTGCACAGCTGCCGTGGGCACCGATGCCGCCAGCTCGCGCGTCCACTTGGCGTGCGCGCTCGCGTCGTCCAATACGAGGCTAAACGTCCGAGCCGGCGTCACAAGGTCGATACCAAAGCGCATTTCTACGTCTGGCGGCGGCTGCTTAACAAAGAGCGACCGAAGACCGCGGTTGATAGGCCCGGACGCCAGGCGCATACTCGCGGGCTGGAGCGAGGTGACGGCCGAGAGCGGTACCGACCCGCGGTACCCCTTGCTCTGGTCGTACAAGCCGTGCCGGCCCACTGGCGCGTTGTAGTACGAGAGGTCGCCGTTCTGAAGCACAAAGAATCGCCGCTGGTACGCCTTGTGCGAGTGGCCTTGCTTCCAGACCCAGCCCGAGAGTGCACTCCCATCGTCATCGTATTCGTCGTTGCCGCGCATCTCGTGGTCCGCCTCGAGAGCGACGGTCGCTTTTAGCGTGACGGGGTCCGCTTGGTTGGTGCGGGCCTGCGAGAGACTAAGGAACTCGGGCATCGACGCCTCCAGACTCGGCGGCACGAGGACGCTGTCGGCAGCGCGGAAGAGGTCAATGCTTTCGCGCGAGTGCGTCATGTCGGGACATGGCAGCCAGAGCCCGCTGCCATCGGCGACGAGCGGCTCGCCGACGCACGGGTTGAGCAGCTCGGGTGGCGGCACGCGCATGCTAAAAACTGGGACGACCGAGACAACTCCAGCTGGCTCAACATTGCGCGAAAAGCTTCGGATTCCGAACAACAACTCGCGTCTCTTGAAAACTCGGCTTTTTCCATGCTTTGTACTGTCCATTGCCGAGCATTATGTGACATTATTGTACACTAATAAATATAGAAGATTGACGCTTACGACGCGATCGTCACGGGCGCGTGCGTCGGCAGCGTGAACGTAAGCACAGGCGTCTGCGACCGCGTCGACGGCGGAAAGTGGAAGGTCGAGCTGAGCGACTTGCGCAAGCTCCGGGACGGCAGCGTAATAAAGTACCGCGACGGCGACCCGAGTGGTTTCAGACTCGTCTTGACGATCGCTTCGAGCGCGGCCCGCGTCGCTTCGTGCTCGGACGGCGACAGCGAAGCCGGCTCGGCAAAGTACCGGCGCTGCCACGTGAGGATCGCGCGGCCCCAAAGCGACCGCGCTTCGGTCGTCGCGGCTGTGAGCTCGAGCATCTCGGGCGGCGCCAGCGTGTACGTCCGATCCTTGACGAGCACGCGCTGCGTCTCGATGCGAAACGTGTTTTGCACGTGGTCGTCGCGGCGGTGCGCCTTGACGCTGACGCGGCAGCCGGAGAGGCGCAGGTCGCCAATGAGCTTGTCGTTCGCATAGTACTTGAGGTAGCCCTCTTCGAGGCGGAAGAAGCACACGTGCGCCTTCTTGCCAGCGTGGCGGATGAGGAAGCCGTCGTGGACCATCCTCGTCTCGTGGAGCAAATTCGAAAATGACCAAAAATCGACGCGTTAAAGCTCGCGCTTGTAACGGATTACTCGCAGCACCACGCGCGTCGGCGACGGACGCCCAGAAGCGACACGAGCATGAGCCCAGTGGACGAGCGCATGTAGCTGCAGCGGTGCGTGGCGCGAGGCCCGCGCGTCGGCCAGCGTCGTTGGCTGTGTATAACGTGGCCCGCTTTCTTCGAACTTCGAACAACCCACGTGGCAAGCTGCGACAGCATTATGCGAAGTTTCTGCGAAGTTTATGCGACCGAGATGCAACCAAAGAAGCGGCAGCCGAGACCAGAGCCGAGACGCAAGCGTGTTCGTGCAAAGCTGCTCGTATTCAGCAGCGCATTCAGCTAAGGTCGCTACTACGAGTACGACTAGGACGACATGCAGCCTCGGTCGCGTTGACACTCGTCTCGGCGGTCTACGAAGAGAGCCAGTGAGCGCCATGTGGTTGCCGCCCCAGCGTGTGTACATTGTTGTCGTCACCGTCGAGATCGAGTTTCTCCGCCGCTTTTATCAAGTTGCGATCGTCGTCGGCGTCGTTGACGGCCGACAAGAGCCGCGTGGCCATCGCGCAGTGGGACGCGTTGTCCGGGCACTGGCGCAAGACAAAGCGGCAGAGTGCGCGGAGGTCATCGACGTCGGCGTCGTCCGCACTACGCACGGGCTCGTCCGTCGAGGATATTTGGTCATCATTGTCTTGGGGCGTCAAGGACGCTGCCATCGGGAAGAGATCGCCGAGGTCGCAGTCCAAGACGAGGCACTTGAGGAAGAGGTTCCAGTACACGCCGGCGTCGATCGCGAGCAACGACGCCAGCGATGCACATTGAAACGACTGCAGTCGCGCCTTCATGGTCGTCCACGGCAAAAACACAACCGGCTCGGACGCGACATCGTGCGAAATGACACAGAAATGGGGCGCGAGACTACTCCCGCACGTCGGACACCGCACGACGTTGGGCTGCCGCTCGAGCTCGGCGTGCGAGAGGCGGTGGCCGCAGTCGGTGCAGTCCGAAAGCAGCGTCACGCGGACGTTCTCGCGGTGAAGCCACCCAAACTTGTCGTTGACAAACCGCCGTGGCCGCAGCACCGGCTAGTTACGACCATTTCCATCCTGCCCTGTGCGAGTAGGCATTGTACCTCGCCTTGGCTCTTCTCGAGCGCGGGCAACCCCCGAAGGAGCGTCAGAGACACGGGCCGCGGCGCGTCAAGCAGCACTCGCGCCGCGACACTGAACGGTTCGGTGGTCACGAGCCGTCCGTTCACCGATTCGAGCACGTCTTGTTCGCGGATCTGGCGCGGTCCACTGCATTCCAGATACATAAGCGTGCGGTCTCGTGCCACACACATACCACTCGTCGAGCCCAGTGACCACCGCGCCCTTGCCGTCGACGTACGGCCCGATGCGCACGCCGAGCGTGCCGACGCTAAACGTAGCGTAGATGCGGAAGAGGAGGCTCTCGAGCTCGTGTTCCAAGCAAGTCGCAGCACTTTCCACCGGTGCCGAGGACGCGCTGGTTGACGGCGCCGTCGACACTTGAGAGAACCACTTGACCGCCTCGTGGACGTCGCCGCGCTTGAGGAACGCATATATCATATGGCTAAACGGCCGCCAGTACGGCGCCTTGTTGTAGATCGACCCGAGCGGCGGTCCCGGCCCGAGGCACGCGGCAAAGACGTGGCGAATGTCGTGCAAGTGGTGCTGCGTCTCGCACGCTGCGAATGCGTCAATGAGACGCACATACGCCGCCTAGATGCGCGAGATATAGCAGGCAAACAAAAGAAAGGTGTACTTCGAGCGCGTCGCTGGTCTTGGCGCGACAGCTTTCTTCAAGCGCAATCGTCGTCTGCGTCACCCGCGACGCACAGGCCGGTGCGCACGACGTGAGCAGCCACGGGCGGTGGCCTATCGTTCGCTCAGTACATAAGAATGCATTATGACAACGCACCGTCACTGCGAGACGCATTCTGACTCAGCGTCCGGTGCAGCGGCGACGATCGAGTCGGGCTGCCCAGCGTCTTGGTTCGACGGAAGACAGACTGGACGGCCTTTCCTTTCTCAGACGAGCTCAACCACGTGTCGAGCCAGACGAGGACGGACGCCCGCGCCTCGGGGGTCTACGTCATGATCGTCACATTTCAACGCTTGTAAAGGTCATACTGTGACGTTGCTGCTGCTTCGACGACCGTTCGGCAGGCTACATATGTCATCGTCCAGGTCGACCTCGGTTGGGGCAGCTAGCCGTATTGGGCAGCGGGGCCCAAAGGCCGCGACGTCGAGGGTCGGAAATGCCACGTGGAACTGGAGGGTTGAAGCGTCATTTTGGGGCTGCAGCACCGGCGTATCGGGGGCCACCGCAACGTGGAAGTGCGCATTCTCTTGCGCACTCGGCGACAGCAAAGGGCTCTTGAGGGTCGTCGACTGCTGCGTCTGCAGGAAGAAATGCAGCGCCCGGGACGCCTCGTGTGGCGCCGCCATGCCGTCCAAGAAGGCCTGGAACGCATTTGTATCGGCAAGCGCCGTGTAAAACGCCTAGCCTCCGTCGTACGCATCGTCGTCGGTCAGGCGCGGTTGGTTACCTGCTGCGACGCGGGTTTTGTGCTGATGTACGCGAGCACGTCACCGCGCAAGCAGTGCTCGTGCCCGGCCACGAGGTCGCCAATGAGATGCGTAAAGGACTTGGCCACCTTGCGAATGAGCGCCGAGGACCCGAGCAGAAACTTCCCGCGCTCGTACATGAGATCGCCCTTGTTGTTGGAGTAGAGTGCCTTCTGAAACGCGATGCGGCGTTCCCAGAGCCGCCGCGAGAGCTGCGTCGACGTCTTCGTGAGTACCGTCGCGAGCCGGTCCTTCATCGCCACGACCGCGTCGGGCAGTGGCGGCAGCTCGATCGCCGACGTGACGCGCCCTTCCGGCAAATCGACGCGCACCACCTACACGAATATTCGATCGAAATGCAAGATACAATCAAACTCAAAATGTACTGTGGGCGGCAAGGCGGCGCCTTCGAGCTGGAGCGGGTGCGCACCGGCCACAAACGGCACGGGTGCGTCGAGAAGCGTCGCCATGTCGACGCCGGGCGGCACCACCGGAATGAAGACATGATCCCACTGCAGTGGGAAGAGCAAGTGCCGCAGCGTCTCGGCCACCGCGGTGACGAAGAGCGTGTCGACGCCCACGAGAAGCACCGCGTGTTCCAGGAGAAGGTGGCAGAGCACGTCGAGCAGCGTCGTCGGCGTAAGAATCGCAAACGTATACTCGAGAAACTCCATGTCCATCTCGAACGGGACTTCTTGCATCGTGTAGCGCTTCAAGAGCACGTCCGTCTACATCAACGAGTTCAAAGGGGCGCACGAGAGGACGGAGTACGTACATCGCCAATGCTGGCGACGACGCCCGCCCGGCCGCGTACGGGCAGTGGCACTTCGTAAAAGAGGTTGGCCAAGCTCTTCTCGACGCCAACGTAGTCGACTTGCCGCGCCTGGTGTACGCCCAAGATCGCAAGCTGCTCGAGGTACTTGAGCAACGGACCGCAGAATGGCCTACACACCATGTCCCTGCATGCGTCCGAGGTCATCCAGCGTCGTACCACTGGCTCACAAAGCAGAGCGACGTGAGCGTGTGCTGCGCTTCGCTCGACGACGCGAGCGCGAAAAAGCAAATGGACGTGCCGTAGAGCGCCGCGCCGGACGCGGTCGTGAGCACAAAGGTGTTGTAGACCGGCGGTGGCAGGAGGCCGCCATGCGCCGGCGACGACGTGCACGGAAACATAAACTGCACATGCCATGAGCCAGCATGGCCAGCGCGCAGGCGATGCCATACCATGAGGATGTTGGGCGGGTACTCGTCCGTCTCGGTCGTCGCCGGGTACTGGAAGGTTAGCGCCTCGTCGCCGGCGCCTTGGCCATGGCATGAGCAAGCGCTAGCGCAGAGCGCTTCGTACCTGTCTTGGTCGCGACGAAGAAGTACTCGACCAGCTGACGTGGCGCTGCCACCGACGTCGGGTCCTTTGCCATCGTGCTGCGTCGGTGCGAATTGGATCTTTGGGAAATGTGATGTGGGAAATGTG